GATTTCCTGATGATAGTCATTTTTTCTGGGGTGAGATACAATTTCAGTGTTAATTTGCATTTTTTGAATGACCAATAATATTGAACATTTTTTCATTTATATGTTTGAAATTGGTATTTCTTCATCTTAGAAGTGTGTGTTCACCTCAGATGCCCATTTTTGGATTGGGTCTTTGAATTTGGGGGCCTAGTTTTTAAAAATTTTTATATGTTCTAAATAAAAGTCCTTTGTCTGAGGGACAGGAGACTAAAAGTTTTTGAGGGTTTACTTTTCACTCTGTTGGTGATTTCTTTTGATGTGCAAAACATTTTAATAAGATGAGATCCCAATAGTTAATTCTTTGATGAATTTCCCCTGCAGTTTCATTTTGTTTATGAACTCTCTGCCTACCCTATATCTTCAAGATTTCTACCTACTTTCTCTTCCATGAGACTTAGTGTTTCTGTTTTAATATTTAAATCTTTGACCCACTTTGACTTTAGTTTAGTGCATGGTGATAGACATGGGCCTAGTTTTAGTCTCTGGCATGTGGAAAGCCTTAATTTCTGCTCTTCATAATTTCCTCCATTCTTTAGGCTTGATTTGCACTTCTTTTTCTAGAAACTTGAGATGCAGCATTAGGTTGTTTTCTCTGTTGTTTCTGTTTCCCTGATGTGAGAATTCACTGCTATAAATTTCCCCCTGAGTACTGATTTCATTGCATCCCAAAGGTTCTGGAAAGCTCTTTGCACATTTTTGTTTGATTGTAGATATTGTTCAACTTCTTCTTTAATTTCATCTGTGATCCCTTGGTTATTCAGGAGGGTGTTATTTAATTTCCATGTGTTTATGGAGTTTTTGCAATTTCTTTTGTCAATAATTTCCAATTTCATTGCACTGTGGTCTGATAATAAGCATGAGATTATTTCAATTCCTTTGCATTTTCTTAAGCATGTTTTATGGGCTAGTATATGGTCTATTTGAGAGAATATCTCATGTGCAGCTGAGAACAATGTGTATTCTGATGTTATTACATGGAGCACTCTGTAAAGGCCTACTAAGACCATTTGTTCACAAGTTTGGTTCCGTTCTGTTATTTCTTTGTTGATCTTTGTCTAGTTGATCTATCTCTTTGTAACAATGGGCTGTTAAATTCCCTTGTTACAGTTGTGCTATTGCTTATTTGATTTTTCTTGTCTATTACTATTTGTCTCATAAAGTTGGGTGCTCCCATATTTGTTGCATATATATTTATGATTGTTATCTCCTCCTCTTGAATTTTTCCCCTAACAAATATGTAGTGACCTTCTTTTTCTCTTTTGAACAGTCTTGGCTTGAAGTTCACATTGTCTGCGAACAGAATAGCTACCCCAGCTTTTTCCTCAGTTCCCGTCACATGGAGTATTGTTTTTCATCCTTTGACTTTCAGTCTATGAATTTCCTTTTGAGTTAAATGTGATTCTTGTATAGAGCATATTGTTGGATTTTGTTTCTTGGTCCACTTTGCCTGTCTGTTTCTTTTGTTTGGTGAATTGAGCCCATTTACATTAATGGTTATAACTGATACATACTGGCTTATCTTCATCATGTTATTTTCTTGCTGTTGGTTCCATACTTTCCCCCTCTATTAACTGCTTGCCCTGCTGGTGGTTTCTTTCTGTTGTTGTTCTTGGAACTGTGGTAATTTTCACCTCTTTCTAGAATATCCTTCAGTACCCTTTGTAGGGTTGGTTTGGTGGTCATGAATTTCTTCAGTTGTTCTTTCTTATGGAAGTATCTTATTTCTCCATTATTTTTGAAATATAGTTTTGCAGGATACATCAATCTTGGTTGGAAGTTGTTTTCTTTCAGGCCCTGAAATACTTCACTCCAAGCTCTTCCTAACTTGATGGCTTGAGTTGAGAAGTCTGTCATGATTCTGATGGGCTTTCCTGTACAGGTGTTCTGTTTCTTTTCTCTAACAACTTTTAATGTTCTGTTCTTGTGCTGAGTTTCTGGGATCTTAATTATTATATCTCTGGGTGTAGATTCAGTTTGCTTATGGCTAATCAGAGTTCTATATGCCTCATTTCTCTGTATTTCAGATTCTTTTCCCATGCTTGGGAAATTTTCTGCTATTTATTCTGCAAATAGCCTTTTTGTCATTTATGTTGACTCCTGCTCTTTTTCATTGGCACCTATCAGTCTTGTGTTGTTTTTCATTGCATCACCTTGCAGTTGTTGAATTGTCATTTCTAATACCTTGTTATTTTAAAGAGATTTTTCCTTTTATGATCACTAACTGCAATCCTTTCTTCAAGGTCTCACAGTCTTTGTTTAGTTTCATTCAAGTACTTTTGCCAACTTTCAATAGAATTTTTAATTTCCTAGATATCTACTGAATCTGTTTCATGCATTCTAATTCTTTCCTATAGTGCTCATTCAAGGCATCTGTAATTTTCCTATGCTCCTTTATCTTTTTATTTGTGTCTTCTTTAGATACGCTGAGAAATTTTTTCATTATGGTCGTCATTCCTTTTTTAATCTGAGAGATTATTTCTGATCTCATTGCCTCTATCATCTCCTGGAATTGTTTCTTTACTTGAGTTGGTATCATTTCAGAAATTTTAGATGTGTGGCTTCCAATTTCATCTATGTCAATGTCTCCTGGACTTGTTCTGGGTCAGCTGGAGGTCTGAGATTCATTTTGATTGTTTGTCTTGTCATTTTCTATTTCAAAAAATTTTTACTTTGTTTTCTGTGATGATCCCTGTGAGTTTTAGTAGTAGGTAGCTATACCACTAGTATCAAGGCCTCTCTTTGAAAAGCCTATTCTTCAGAGATATCTTTTTTTGTGTAGGAGATTCTTGGTTTGTGTCTGTCCCAAGACACTACCTTTCCAATTAATTGAGAGTGGGATGTTTGTTTCTGTTTGGCTCAATCTTCAGTCTTTAGTGTAGAACTTTTGGAGTTATTACCCTAGAGCTTCCCTATATTGTTACCCAAGGGAGAACAAGTGATTACAACAAATATGACATCCCAGCTACAGTAGTACAATTAGCAATAATGATAGCATCAAGCACAATTTAGAACATGACAGACTATGGTAACTATTGATTTTGTACTATAGACCAGAGAAGCAAAGTCTACACTTATACAACAGAACCAATCATAAGTTAGGCATTTGCATGCAAAGTGTTTCCCCTCGTTAGAGTGTATTTACCCACCTCTTGGCTCATATTTCAGAATTTTCCTCCTGCTAGTCTTGCCTGTTCATCATGTACATCCTAGTCCAGGTACTAATGTGTGGCTCTTGGCCCCAGTAACCGGGTTCCAAGGTGTAGGGGGATGGGCCAAGCACCTGGGTTCCTGTGGCTGAGCTGGTTGCCTACACCTGGGTGCTTCCAGTGTTGGCTGCCTATCTCATGGTATAGGTGGATGGGCCAGGAACATGGGTTTCTCCAAATGAGCCATTTACCAAATCCAGGACACTTTACCAATTTCTTAATACAGCAAGCAGTATTACAACAGATAATCCAGTTTGATTGCTATATTGCCCACTTCTATGTAGCACTGTCTTGGTTACTTTTCTCTCATTGCTGAGAAAAAATACCCAATGCCCAAAATTAAGAGAGGAAAGGTTTATTTAGCTTACAGTTTGTAGAGGTTTCAGTCCATACTTGGCTGGCTCCAAGGTAGAAGGTAGCAAAGCAACAAGAGCAAGGGGGGGAATGGCAGCTGAACAGCAATGCAGCCAGAGCAAAAGGGAGGAATGGTGGCAAGCAGCCTCTTTTCCTCCCTTACATTGTAAACAGGCTACCCCCACCTAAGGGGCTGTAGCTCTCACATAATCTCCATGCCCTCCTCTTCCACAGGCTCAGGATGTATACAAAGTAAGCACCCTGGCTTCCTGCTGAGTCACTTAGCCAAACCTGTAGACTCCCCAAGTTGACACCATGTATCAACCATAACACGCACCAATGACACCTGCAACAGTAGCATGTGGCAGTGCCTATTTCCCCTTCTTTGCATTAGATTGTATAATGTTTCACTCACATTTTCACTAGTATGATCATGAAAATATTATCTCATTCTCTTTTGAATTTGTTTCTCTCAAGAGTGAGATTGACTACTCATATATGTAAAAGCTGTTTATATTTCCTCTTTCTTATTTATATTCTTTGCCCAATTTATTCTGGATAATTGGTGTCTTTAAGGCAAGTGTTCTACCATTGAAATACACTCCCAGTCCTTTGATCTTCTTACTGATTTATAGAAGCTCTTAAAATATTAAGAGAATTAAACTTTGTCTGTGAAATTATTTGTAAACAATTTTCTCCCAATTCACCATTTGCATGTTGATTTTGCTTAGTTTCTGCCAAGCAAAGATTTTTATTGGATTTATTTTTAAAATATTTTCTCCAGTGAATTTTACAATCCTAGTTAGAAAGCTTCCCCACTCTGAATTTATGCAAGAACTTTCCTTTTAGGATTTACATTTTACATTTAATATTTAATTCATTTGAAATGGATCCTGGTTAAATGCACAAGGAATAGATCCAGCTTTATTTTTAAAAATGAACCCATATTTGTTCTAACATTATTTATTTAATAGTTCTCATTTTCCCTACTGATTTGAGAAGTCAACTCTATCATATGCCAAATCTTTGCATATATTTGTATCAGGTTAAATAACCCTTAGTTATTGTAGGCTAATCAGGCCCACAATCTCCCAAGTGAGTGGATGGCGAAGGCTTAAATAAATGAGACAATGGAAATGATTTCAAGGCTCCAGGAGGGACTAACTCTCTTACAGCTTTGATATTATCTGAGTTTAGTCCAAGACTTCTCTGGGCCCCCTTTTTTATTTGGTTTACAAACAAAAGAGGCATATGAATGAATTTCCACTGTTGAATTTTTAAATTCTGTGCAATTGATGTGTCTACCACACATTTTGTTGTTGATATGTCAACAACAAAATTTATGTTTCTGTTTTTTGTTTTTTGTTTTGTTTTGTTTTTCTTCCAGTACCAGGAGTCAAACTCATGACCTTGTGCTTGCCAGGCAGGTGCTGTGCCACTGAGCTAAATCCCCAGCCCCCAAAATTATGTTTCTAAATCACTGAGATATCAGTCAAAATGGATATATAGAAAGAACAGACAACTTTGTGAAATTAAAATCATACTTAACCAGACACATTCTGCAGGAATTCTTGCCTTTCACAATTCCAGTGTGAGCCTAAACAGTAGGGCATGGAAGGAGGACAGAAGAATATTACTCTGTGATGGGAGGGCTGGAATCAATCACATTCAGAAGATTCTTGTGGCTTTGCCGTGTTATTCATATGCATGGCTCATCCAACAGCAGGTTAGTTTCTGACCCAAAAGAGAAACAATTTGAGCCCTTATTGGGAATTTGTAAAACTACAAGAGAAACAGGCAGTTCTTGCTGAAGTTATAAAATGTAAACCTCAGAATTTCCATGGGCCTGGTTTCCTTCCACAAGAGATAATCAAATAGCAGTGAAAGAATAAAGGTAATACTGAGAAAAATCAGCAGTGATGAAATACTACTCAGAAGTTAAAAAGGAATTAATTATAAATAGACACAGATCAATCTGAGAGGAAGAAGACAGATAAAAATAGGTATATACTAGATTCCTTTTATATAATTCTCTTGAAAAAAGCAAACTAATTTATATTGACAGAAGCTAGATCTATCCTTGCTTAAAAGGGAGGAGAGGAGAGGCAGAGTGGAGCAAGAGGGAAAATTACAAGGAGGCATAAGGAAAATGTGGGACATGACCACAGTGATGATTGCATAGGCATGGCCATATTTCAATTTTAAAACGTCAAATTACACACCTTCAATATGAATGGTTCATCTAAGTCTCTAATTTATTGGAGACCACTATAAAGTGGCTCTGAGCTAGATTTAATATTAACCAATTGGCTTTCCGTGTTTACTTGTGAGTTGTCCGAAGCTTAGGCACCTTGTCTGAAGATGGGCAGTGGACTCATAGTAAGTAAACCTCTGTGAGTCACTGGTCAGCACTGATGCCTGTATTGTCCTGGGAAACTGTGACACCTCAAAGGACAAGATAAGGCCACAGCTGAGGACGTCTGGCTCCAATCCCAATTAACTTAAAGGAGACTGTAGCTGCAGGCATTTCACTCCTGCTGTGAAGGCCTTCTTGGAGATAAAATAATTCTCCTAAATTAACATCATGTATTACTTGGAAAAGTCCTGCCCAGATTCCTGTGTTTTCTTGAGGAGTATACCCCTCTTTTGTTTGTAAACCAAATAAGTAAGGGGGCCCAGAGAAGTCTTCGGCTAAACTCAGAGAATATTGAAGCTGTAGGAGAGTTAGTCCCTCCTGGAGCCTTGAAATCATTTCCATTGTCTCATTTATTTAAGCCTTCGCCATCCACTCACTTGGGAGATTGTGGACCTGATCAGCCTGCAATAACTACGGGTTATTTAACCTGATACTAATTTGTGTAAATGTGGATTTTGTTTTGTTTCATTTTGTTTTCCTGTAAAAGCAATCCAGATCCTCATATATGGTAGGCCAGAACTCTACTGATAGTGACCTTTTGGTTTCTTGTGCTCTGTCAGAAGAATGATACAAAAGGCATGGTGGAACAAGAATAAAGCTTTATATTCTTATGCTCAAACACAACAGGGTTATTATGTGTGGGACAGATGTTCCAGGATAATGCTTCTGCCCCGCAAAAGGCAAAGGAATATAGTTTTTATCACATCTACAGAGTAGTCAGGGACCTGGTCTCTTGATGTCACTGCATGTAAAAGTTAAGTTTTTAATTGTGTCTGTGCTCTCCTTTATCATGCTTCTTCCTGCAAAACATGTCGTATTACCATCTTAATAGGCTCCACCTTGGACGTGGTATTTTTACTACATATGCTAATAAAGCAAACAGCTTACTTAAGTGACTACTCTATACATGGATTTGTCTCTTGCCACATGGAGTTTGTTCTTTATAATCTGGAAAATTTCCAAATTTGGTTTTTGAGCTGGACAGATCCCCTGTCATGTGAGTTTGATTTTAATGATCTTGGAAACTTTTCTTGGCTCTAGCCCCTTGGTATCACCACTGACTACAGAGTCTTCAGAGTTAGAGCTCACTTCCTATTTCCTGGTGTATCTTAATTTTATAGCCTTCAAAACTGGTCTACTTTTTGACTCTTAATTCCTTTATATGTTTGTTAATGCCATAAGAATAAGGGCTCACTTACCTATCTCATTACCACTGACTGAGCCACACTCCCAACCCCAGATTTTTTAAAAAGTGAAGACAAGGGTGAGGGGAACTAACAGAGAAAGAAGCAGAAATGAGTAGTATAATTATAGGAGGGAAGGCAAGCAAAAGAAAAAATTAATTTAGCTTAGATCCATTTTCTGGTGCCACTTGTCCTACTGCATCTCCAATTGGGTTTCTTAACAAAATGTACATTTGAATAATATGCTTAGTGTTTTGCCCAAGCTGAATCTCTGAACATGGAATAACAGGTTCCCCACCTACATTTTACTAAAGAAAAATCTTGGTATCCATTTTGGCTCCTCCTCTTCTTTATCTCTCACACTCAGTTTATCACTGGTACAACCAACTCTACTTTCATCATTTCTTTGAGAAGACATTTGTTCTCTTCCATTCTGATCTGCTGAGTCTAGGCTCTTATCCTCCTCCAGGTCTTCTAAGACTTCCAAACTCTTCCTTCTTCTATCCTCCCTGTTGTTTCCAAAGTTATGTATGTAAAGAGCAGTGCATCTCAATGTTCTAGAAAGAAAAGAACAATCCAGGAAACAAATTATAAAGATCAGAGCAGAAATTAATGAAATTGAGACTAATCAATGATAAAAAAATCAATGAATCAAAGATTTGGTTCTTCCAAAGAATAAAAAAAATACACAAACCCTTAGTTAATCTTGTCCCATGAGGAAAAGAAAGGCACAAGTCAGTGCAATTGGAAATGAAAAAGGTGAAATCACAAAGACACTGCCAAAACCTAGACAATTACTAGAAACTGCTTTGAAAAACCGTTTTCGAAAAATTTGGAGAATCCATAAGAAACGAATGGGTTATTAGACACATACACATTATCAAAACTGAACCAAGAAGATATAAAAACACTGAATAATCCAATAACAGGCAACAAAATTGAAACAGTAATAAAAAAGTTCAAAAAAAGTTTCAGGACCTGTTTGATTCACCACCAAATCCTGTAAGTACTTCTTGTAAGTACCAAATCCTGTAAGTACCAAATCCTGTAAGTACCAAATCCTGTAAGTACCAAATCCTGTAAGGGAAGATGAAACACCAATCTGTTGTTATGGTTGATACACTGTGTCAACTTGGGGAGTCTAGACGTTTGGCTAAATGACTCAGCAGTTCTACATCCTGGGGTGAAAAGGACATGCCCTTCCTACTCTAAGATGTTATTCATTGTGTCAATGTGAGAAGTTTAGGTTAACTATATAACTCAGCAGGGAGCCAGTGTGCTTACTTTGTATTCATCCTGAGCCTGCGCAAGAGGAGAGCATGGAAATTATGTGAGTGCTACATGCCCCTGGGTAGGGGTAGCCTGCTTACAATATAAGGGGGGAAAAGAGGCTTCCTCACCCTGCCACTCCTCCCTTTTGCTCTTGTTGCTTTGCTGTTCCGCTGCCATGAACTGTTGCCTTTTGCCATGTGCTACTCTGCTTTGGAGGCAGCCAAGAATGGACTGCAACTTCCACAAGCTGTAAGCTAAATAAACCTTTCCTTCCTTCATTCTGGGCTTTGGGTGTTTTGTCTCAGCAGCAAGAGAAAAGTAACCAAGACAACTACTCAAACTCTTTATTGAAATTGAGAGGGAAGTAGTACACCCAAAATTTTTCCAGGAATTGAGCATTACCCTGCTTCTAAAACCAGGTAAGGACCTAACTCTTTAATGAAGAGGCCAAGTTTATTAGTAAAGAGAGATGCAAAAATTCTGAACAAGATACTAGCAAACAGAATGCAAAAAAAAAAAAAAATCATCAAAAAGATCATACATCATGACCAAGAACAATTCACCCCAGGGGTGCAAGGATCATCCAGTGTACAAAAATCAATAAACATACATCACATAATCAGAAGCAAGGACAAGAATCACATAATCATCTCAGTAGATGCAGGAAAATCTTTGCCAAATCCAGCACATATATATGATAAAAACTGAAGAAAATAGGTATAGAAGAATCTTATCTCAATCTGCTAAAATCAATTTATGACAAATCTATTGACAACATAATTCTAATGGGAAAGAACTGAGCACTTTCCTTCTAAAACTGGAATCAAGATAAGGATGTTCACTATCACTACGCTTGTTCCATATAGTACTCGAAACATTAGAGCACTCAGGCAAATAAAAGAAAAAAAAGGGATACAGATATGAAAGGAAGAAGTTAAATTATCATTATTTGAAGATGACATGATCTTCTACATAGAGGACCCAAAGGACTACACCAAAAGATTCCAAGAATTAATTAGAAAATTCAGTAATATAGCAGGATATAAAATCAACACAAAAATCTATAGTGCTCCTACTCCAATATTGAAGTAAATAAGAAAGAAATTAGGAAAATGATACCATTCACAATAGTACAGCATCAAGAAAATAAATAATTAGGAATTAAACTAACAAAGGAAGTGAAAGACTTCTACAGTGAAACAGCACTCTGAAAAAGAAAATTTTAAAAATCAGGAAATGGAAAAATATCCCTTGTTGGTCAGGCAGAACCAATATTATCAGAATGGCCATATTACTAAAACTGAGACATAGGCTTAATAGAATCCCAGTCAAAATTCTATCATCATTCCTCACAGAATTAGAAAAAAAGCCTAAAATTTATATGCAATCAGAAGATATTCAGAACAGCAAAAGCAATCCTATGCAACAAAAGCAAGACAGGAGGCTTCTGGATTTCAAGTTATATTACAAAGCTACAGTGATTTAAAATAAAAAACCAGCAAGACACTAGCACAAACATAAATATGTGGATCAATGGAACAGAGTAGAAGATTCAGAAACAACCTCAAACACATGCAGCTGTCTGATCTCTGATCAAGGTGCCCAACACACATGCTTGAGGAAAGATAACCTCTTTAGTAAATGGTGCTGGGAAAACTGGTTACCCACATACAGAAGATTGAATGTAGACACATGTCTTTTACCATATACTAAACAAAAATCAAAATGGACCAAAGATCTAAATATTAAAACAGAAATAGTTAATCTGATGGAAAATAACATAGGTAAAACTCCTGAAGATATATATGCATAGACAAGGTCTTTCTGAACAGAATCCAGTTATACAAGAAATAACAACAAGAATCAAAGGAAACAATCAACAAAGTAAAGAGACAACCTGCAGAATGGGAAAAGCATGCTTACCAGTTACTCTTTGCACAGAAGACTAACATCTAGAATATATAAAGAAGTAAAAGAATTAGACTCCCAAAATAAAAGACCCAAATGGGTAGCAGGGGATTTTGAGGAAGATAGCAGAGTGGTGATCAGCAGAGAAACAGATTGGACACAAAAGATTTCCAAGATTTAGTGTCCAGACACTGGAATATAGCAGCATGAGGAAGAGAAGGAAATAAGTGGGTGTGAAGAAGCCATCAAGGATCTGAAGTGAGAATTGGAGTCCATAGGGAGGGCAAAGAGACAGACCTCAACATAAAAGAAGGAAGTGGCAAGTTTTACTTTCTTCTTGAGCTACAGCTCATAGTGTGGGAGAGGCAGCTCAAATCTGCAAAAGCACAGTAATTACTGACCACTCCCAGAGCTCTTCATTAAGAAATGCACCATTGATATGGAGTAGTGGACACAATGGGCTGAGTTATTTGGGTTCAGACACCCCACACGATTGGATGATTTGTTGGTTGCCATTTTGGAGAGGGATCAACTGAGCTCTGAACTCAGAGCAGCACTGGGATGGCTCCATCTAGCAGCTCCCAGTGTCAGGCTGAGGTGGAACTCAGTTTAAGCTAGCAGAAGGTCAAGGAGACAAGTTCAAGCCTGCAGGGAGCCAAGTTCAAGCTGGAAGGAGGCACAAGGACTGTTGCAGGCAAAAAAAGGTCAGATTCCAGCCTCATAGCCAGAAACCAGTTAGAACTTCAGTGTAACAAAAGGTTCAGGGTTGCTGGGACTCTCCACTACCCCACAATAAATCTACTGTTGGGTTGCTGGGATTAATCAGCACAGATCTAGGCTCTGTCTTCCCTCTATTTCCACCAGTGACACCAGAGACACACTGAATTTTAAAATTTTAAAAATTTCTTCCTGTTTTTAGAGATTGTTTCTTCTAGTTTTTATATGAGTGTGAACATTATCTCTAGTTTTTTTTTTTGCTGTGTTGTTCTGTTCTGTTATTATTTCTTCCTTCTCTCATTATCTTCTGTCTTCTTAACCAGTTTCACAAAGTTCAGGTAATCTTCCTTTACTCTCCAGTCTTGTGTCTAATCTCTTCCTCTTCTTCTGTTTCTCTATTTTTTTCCTCTAGCACTTTTATGTTTTTTCCTCTGAGGGCAAAATTATCAAATTGAGGACATATTTATTGCATAATTTTCTGGTTTGTTTTAGATTTGGTTATATAACCACAAATCCAATATGTCTGGTTAAAGATAGCAAATTAATAATTACCACAGTTTGGCATTGTCTAGGCTGTGTTTGATGCTATCATCATTACTGATTGTACTAAGCCAAGGTGACATAATTGTTCAAATCAGTTGTTCTTCCTGGTGTGCCAAGACTGAGATTTCCTAAGGGTCATAAATAATAAATACTTTAGGCCAGTGCCAAAGACCCACAGGCTAGGCCAAACAGGCAGCAACTTATCTCCAGTAGATTGAAGAGGTAGGACCTTGCAAAAGCCATATACTTGGAAGTCATCTCTGAGAACAAATCATTTCCTAAGTGTTCTCAGTACTAGTAATAAAGCTACCTACCATAAGCAATTTACAAGCATCAACCCAGGAAACAGACTTGAAATAAAAGAAAAGAAAATGAGAACACACAGAAGCAAGATGCAACTCCAGATTTCCAGCTCACCAACCCAGGTGGCATGAGGTTGAAAGCCATCCACCTGGACTCCCTGAAGTGGTGACAGTGGAACAAAGCAGATGAATGAGGCTCTAGGAAAAATTCAAATCAGAATTAATTTCTCAGATAACTATAGAGATGGTGACCATAATGAAGGATAGTTTTAGTGAATCTAGAGGAGCTACAGATAAAATATTAGAGGAGCTTAGGAAAATTAAGGAAACCATGAACATCCAACATAGGAAAAAAATAGAACCCTTGAAATGGATTCAAACACATATCTAGGAGGTTAAAAATTCCACTGATAGGGTTGGGGATACAGCTCAGCAGCACAAGCACCTGCCTGGAAACACAAGGTCTTGAGTTTAATTCCCGGTACCAAAAAAAAAAAAAAAAACCCCAAAATTCCACTGATAGTATACACAGCAGAATGAGCCAATGTGAGAACCAAATATATCAGATATGGAGAACAAGATTTTGGTTAGCTAGCATGAAAAGAAAGATCTCTTAAAAGTAGCAAGTTACCATGAAAAATCAATTCAACACCTGCTAGATGATACAAAGAAGAATAACAAAAGATTGATTGGAGTCAATGAAAAAGCAATGCAAATGACATAAAAAAAAAAAAACCTGTTCTCAGAAGTAATGGCAGAAAACTTCCCAACCATGGCAAGAGAATTTGACATACAGCAAGTGAGGCATATAGAAG